AAATAGGCCTGGGGCATATAGTCATACTTGTGCATGTGTAATGTTTTGTTAATATTTTTCACAATATTTTCAAACATTTGTCGGATTTTGGGCATCTTTTGTAGCAATTCAGAATGCATTTATTCATAGATCCAATCATAGACCATGGGCATTAGACTTCCGGTATTGGTCATACATTTGCCCTTTGAATGTAGTGTAGGAAACGCACCTCCAAATAACGGACCAGGAACATATCGTATTCCCAGAGTACACTATCCAAGGCTTCCAAATAGGGAATATTATCAATGGTGATTTGCATATTGGCTACATCTTGAGGCTTCATCAGAGCCATTGGTTCAACCATGGTTATGGTAACTCATTGAATCCGAATATTTTCTTATGCTTTTCCACCACCTTGATTTCTTTAAATTTATTTTCAAAGGTATCGCTAATTCCCATAGTTGCATAAAATCCATGGTACCCAGAGGCAAGGGGATGCTGCTGTTAATTGCTTCATATTAAAATAATCAATAAATCTGAATTTCAAAGGTTAGCTCAGATAAATCATAAACTTATTCACATCTAGATAGCTAATGGTCTCCCTAAGGAAAAGGTCTTTGAGACCATATTTACCGAAAATGGCCAAGATGGTGTGCCAATCGAAATCCACATCCTAACTATCGTTGGGAGTCAGCAATGCCCATTTCATATTTTCTTCCTGTGCCAGCCACTGCATACTGTCGAGCCACAAAATTTTACACCAATCATAGAAGTGTTTAAACATTTTCACAAATCCTGGCATATCCTCTATGGGTGTCTTTTTCAAATAGTCCATCACTTCGATGTTGGCCTCATAGTTTAACATTTTTGCAACGGTGGTTATACCTCCATAGTCAGACGTCCATTTGTTACACGCAAGAAGAAAGAAATTCGGGTAAAATATCCGTATCCATGGAATCCATTAGAATGCTGCGTTGCTTATGATTCAGGGCCTTATAATCCTCAGTGCCCTATACCAGAGCAAAACAACCGGCCAACATCAACAAAAGCTGAATAAATGTTTTCATATTTTCACTTTCTTGCTTTCCCTGTATTTAAATTTCAAATCAAATCTAATTTTCAAAACAATAACTTTTCAGTTTATATATCATCGATATTTTTTTATAACTAATAATATCACTAGTAGGAGATTAAATAGGTTATTGTTTTCTATTTCGAACAAGACAGATAACCTCAAATTAGAAAAAAAAACTGTTATCACAAACTCAAGGCCACTCAAATCTAATAAAATGAGCCTGAATTGCATCTGACCGTAAATGAATTTATTTCAATTCAAATAAAATGATAAAGATCCAAACATGGAGTAAACCTTTGCAAAGTGTTGCCAAATTGTGGATTTTTTAAAGAATATTTTTTCATGGTCTCTAATAGGCGTGGATTTGTTAAAGAATATTTTTTCATGGTCTCTAATAGGCGTGGATTTGTTAAAGAATATTTTTTCATGGTCTCTAATAGGCGTGGATTTGTTAAAGAATATTTTTTCATGGTCTCTAATAGGCGTGGATTTGTTAAAGAATACTTTTTCATGGTCTCTAATAGGCGTGGATTTGTTAAAGAATATTTTTTCATGGTCTCTAATAGGCGTGGATTTGTTAAAGGATATTTTTTCATGGTCTCTAATAGGCGTGGATTTGTTAAAGAATATTTTTTCATGGTCTCTAATAGGCGTGGATTTGTTAAAGAATATTTTTTCATGGTCTCTAATAGGCGTGGATTTGTTAAAGAATATTTTTTCATGGTCTCTAATAGGCGTGGATTTGTTAAAGAATATTTTTTCATGGTCTCTAATAGGCGTGGATTTGTTAAAGGATATTTTTTCATGGTCTCTAATAGGCGTGGATTTGTTAAAGGATATTTTTTCATGGTCTCTAATAGGCGTGGATTTGTTAAAGGATATTTTTTCATGGTCTCTAATAGGCGTGGATTTGTTAAAGGATATTTTTTCATGGTCTCTAATAGGCGTGGATTTGTTAAAGAATATTTTTTCATGGTCTCTAATAGGCGTGGATTTGTTAAAGAATATTTTTTCATGGTCTCTAATAGGCGTGGATTTGTTAAAGAATATTTTTTCATGGTCTCTAATAGGCGTGGATTTGTTAAAGAATATTTTTTCATGGTCTCTAATAGGCGTGGATTTGTTAAAGAATATTTTTTCATGGTCTCTAATAGGCGTGGATTTGTTAAAGAATATTTTTTCATGGTCTCTAATAGGCGTGGATTTGTTAAAGAATATTTTTTCATGGTCTCTAATAGGCGTGGATTTGTTAAAGAATATTTTTTCATGGTCTCTAATAGGCGTGGATTTGTTAAAGAATATTTTTTCATGGTCTATAATAGGCGTGGATTTGTTAAAGAATATTTTTTCATGGTCTCTAATAGGCGTGGATTTGTTAAAGAATATTTTTTCAAGGCCTATAATAGGCGTGGATTTGTTAAAGAATATTTTTTCAAGGCCTATAATATTTTGTCAAGGCATATAATAGGCGTGGATTTGTTAAAGAATATTTTTTCATGGTCTCTAATAGGCGTGGATTTGTTAAAGAATATTTTTTCATGGTCTCTAATAGGCGTGGATTTGTTAAAGAATATTTTTTCATGGTCTCTAATAGGCGTGGATTTGTTAAAGAATATTTTTTCATGGTCTCTAATAGGCGTGGATTTGTTAAAGAATATTTTTTCATGGTCTCTAATAGGCGTGGATTTGTTAAAGAATATTTTTTCATGGTCTCTAATAGGCGTGGATTTGTTAAAGAATATTTTTTCATGGTCTCTAATAGGCGTGGATTTGTTAAAGAATATTTTTTCATGGTCTCTAATAGGCGTGGATTTGTTAAAGAATATTTTTTCATGGTCTCTAATAGGCGTGGATTTGATAAAGAATATTTTTTCATGGTCTCTATTTGTTATAGGCGTGGATTTGTTAAAGAATATTTTTTCATGGTCTCTAATAGGCGTGGATTTGTTAAAGAATATTTTTTCATGGACCAACAGGTCTAAGGCGTGGATTTGTTAAAGAATATTTTTTCATGGACCAACAGGTCTAAGGCGTGGATTTGTTAAAGAATATTTTTTCATGGTCTCTAATAGGCGTGGATTTGTTAAAGAATATTTTTTCATGGTCTCTAAGAGGCGTGGATTTGTTAAAGGATATTTTTTCATGGTCTCTAAAAGGCGTGGATTTGTTAAAGGATATTTTTTCATGGTCTCTAAAAGGCGTGGATTTGTTAAAGAATATTTTTTCATGGTCTCTAATAGGCGTCGATTTGTTAAAGAATATTTTTTCATGGTCTCTAATAGGCGTGGATTTGTTAAAGGATATTTTTTCATGGTCTCTAATAGGCGTGGAATTGTTAAAGATTTTTTTTCAACAATCAACCAAAGAAGGCGTGTCTGTCCACAAAATTTTAGTCACTAACGCATCTACACATTTCCCTTTAACCAACAGTGAAGGTTTCATGGAAATATTCCAACTCATTGCTGAGATATAGCGATTTATAAATTTTATTATGAGTCAAAATATAGCTGCTATGGAATTCTGGTTGCCTGTTCATAAAAAATCCAAATTAGATGACATTTTACGTTTTTGAAAGTCCTCCCTCAATTGTTGATATGAATTAAATACATTCGTTGTAGCATATTTTTAGGCATTACATTATTTGGTTGGAAATACGATTTTATTTAACGCCTAAAAATATGTTTTAAATGATTACAGTAACAAACTATTTTGTAGTTGACTGATGTGGCAACACTGGCATTGCCTTATTTTTGTCCATCTGAGAAATGAAGAAATAAATATCACTATTTTAGATTTTCAGTTAACAGGCGCCCAGCATCGTTTAGCAGCTATATTTTTGACAACAAGATAAAATTCAAATGCCTATATCTCGACAATGCGTTAAGCGATTTTCATGAAAATTTCGAGAGGGGTTAGGGGAAATTGTCTAGTTTTATTGGGTAGCAATAACGAATGAAGAAAAACAACGTTTATGGGTATGATGGTCAGTTTTGTAAGCTTTTGTTAGAAATAAATCTAGGCTTGGAGGTCTGATGGCCTGAAAAGAAAAAATATTAGACTCACATCGAAGCTTGGAGGTCTGTTGGTCAAAATTGATGAAGAATTTCTTAAAATTGTTTAAGAAATATTCTTTAAAAAATCAACACCTATTTATGGTTCTTGAAAAAATATTCTTTAAAAGCCCAACGCCTATTGACGGACGTTATTTCGAGGTTTTTTAAAAATTAAAAAAAATGAATTTAATATAGATACCAACTATTATCAATTACCAGAGAGAAAAAATATCATTAATTTATTCGTTTTATACATATATTTATAAATTGTTTATTAAAAAGGATAAATGTAATGTGTATTAGTTTTGAGACAATACCGTAACCCTTAATTGTATTATTTGTAATTTTAAATATTATAAGTTTATTTATATATTTTTTGAAAAATGTGATTATGTTCAAAAGAGAGGTTAATGTAAAATCTAAAAAATGTGGGATCCATGTGCATTTTGTTTTGCATTCGATGTTGAAATATCATTTAATTTTTTTCTTTAATTTATTTATCTTTTTTTTAGTTTAGCAGAAGGAATTTTTATACAAAATCTATTTTCGATTAAATGATGATATTTCAAAGTAATAAAATCTAATTACATTTTCGGATTCGAAACCGATTTTTAAGATGAAATGTGTTTATGTTCCAAAAGCGACAAATTATGAAAAAGGTAGGTAGGTAGGCGAAGCCATAGAGGATTCCTTTATAATTTACATTTTAAAGCAGCTAATAATTTTATTATTCTTTTTTTTCTCTATCCAATTGATATATAACAAATAATGCACAAATATAGTCAAATATTTGATAAACAACACTTATAGACAATAAGTAGAGTGATAAACAATTTAAAAAAGAAGCAGATGATACAAAAATCAAAAGAATGATTCAAGTCAATACAAAAAAAGAAGAGAAAATTCCAAATATTCAAATCTATGATTGTGATAAACTATTACGAGAACTAGGACGTTCAATTGTCATCGTTTGCTGGGGCACCTGGCTATCGGGACTGATGCCAAGGCCAGAATAGATTTCCTTCATAACAAACAGTATGGTATCCTCAGAATCCCTGTAATTAAAAAAAAGAAACAAAAAACAAAATATTTTTCAAAATTTTTATTTTCATTTAACCAAGTTCAACAAAACTTACCAATAACACACATGACTACTCAATGCAAATATGTACTCGTTTATAAATTCCAAGGGTGCCTCTTGCAGTACATAGTCAATGCGTTTGGAATCATTTAATTTACCCAGAGGGAAATCTATTTCAACCATATCATCTGATACGGCAGTGGATACCGAATCGGTCTGATTGGGTGTTTGTGATTGCGATTGTTGTTGGCTGCCACCACTGCCTTGACGTTCCATTTGCATTTGCATTTCAATGACCTGCAAATATTAAAATAAAATTAAATTGGAGGTTAGATTAAATTAAAAAATAATTATAAAAAAATCCACGCCTTAGGAAAAATATTTATAAAAAAATCCCCGATTTATATTAGACTTGATTTATATTGGGTCTTCTAGACCCTTGAAAATTTGTTATCTTTAAAGAATCCTCGCCTCATGTAGACCCTTGAAAATTTGTTATCTTTAAAGAATCCTCGCCTCATGTAGACCCTTGAAAATTTGTTATCTTTAAAGAATCCTCGCCTCATGTAGACCCTTGAAAATTTGTTATCTTTAAAGAATCCTCGCCTCATGTAGACCCTTGAAATTTTTTTATCTTTAAATAATCCACGCCTCATGTAGACCCTTGGAAATGTTTTATCTTTAAAGAATCCACGCCTCATGTACACCCTTGAATATTTTTTTCTTTAAAAAATCCACGCCTCATGTAGATCATTGAAAATTTTTAATTTTTAAAGAATCTACGCTTTAAAGAATCCACGCCTCTTGTAGACCCTTGGAAATTTGTTATCTTTAAAGAATCCACGCCTCATATAGACTCTTGAAAATTTTTAATTTTTAAAGAATCTACGCTTCATGTAGACCCTTGAAAATTGTTTATCTTTAAAGAATCCACGCCTCTTGTAGACCCTTGGAAATTTGTTATCTTTAAAGAATCCACGCCTCATATAGACTCTTGAAAATTTTTTCTTTAAAAAATCCACGCCTTCTCTTGGTCCTTGAAAAAATATTCTTTAAAAAATCCACGCCTTCTCTTGGTCCTTGAAAAAATATTCTTTAAAAAATCCACGCCTTCTCTTGGTCCTTGAAAAAATATTCTTTAAAAAATCCACGCCTTCTCTTGGTCCTTGAAAAAATATTCTTTAAAAAATCCACGCCTTCTCTTGGTCCTTGAAAAAATATTCTTTAAAAAATCCACGCCTTCTCTTGGTCCTTGAAAAAATATTCTTTAAAAAATCCACGCCTTCTCTTGGTCCTTGAAAAAATATTCTTTAAAAAATCCACGCCTTCTCTTGGTCCTTGAAAAAATATTCTTTAAAAAATCCACGCCTATTTATGGTCCTTGAAAAAATATTCTTTAAAAAATCCACGCCTATTTATGGTCCTTGAAAAAATATTCTTTAAAAAATCCACGCCTATTTATGGTCCTTGAAAAAATATTCTTTAAAAAATCCACGCCTATTTATGGTCCTTGAAAAAATATTCTTTAAAAAATCCACGCCTATTTATGGTCCTTGAAAAAATATTCTTTAAAAAATCCACGCCTATTTATGGTCCTTGAAAAAATATTCTTTAAAAAATCCACGCCTATTTATGGTCCTTGAAAAAATATTCTTTAAAAAATCCACGCCTATTTATGGTCCTTGAAAAAATATTCTTTAAAAAATCCACGCCTATTTATGGTCCTTGAAAAAATATTCTTTAAAAAATCCACGCCTATTTATGGTCCTTGAAAAAATATTCTTTAAAAAATCCACGCCTATTTATGGTCCTTGAAAAAATATTCTTTAAAAAATCCACGCCTATTTATGGTCCTTGAAAAAATATTCTTTAAAAAATCCACGCCTTTTATGGTCCTTGAAAAAATATTCTTTAAAAAATCCACGCCTATTTATGGTCCTTGAAAAAATATTCTTTAAAAAATCCACGCCTATTTATGGTCCTTGAAAAAATATTCTTTAAAAAATCCACGCCTATTTATGGTCCTTGAAAAAATATTCTTTAATAAATCCACGCCTATTTATGGTCCTTGGAAAAACATTCTTTAATAAATCCACGCCTATTTATGGTCATTGAA